TTTTTTTTTTAAATCTTGAGAGACAGAGACTGGTGGATCTCTGTGAGTTGGAAGTCAGCCTGGTTTACAAATCAAGTTCCAGGATGACCAGACCTGTTACACAGAGAAATCCCCTCCATTCCACCAAAATCCAAAATCAAACAAAACCACACAACAACCACAAAAAACAAAAAACAAAACAAAACAAAGCAGATCTTAAAGTCTCCACCAGAAAACTCACAGACTTTCAGCATTGTGGAAAGATACAAAATTAACATACACAAATGAGTAGCCTTTGTACACATCAATGATATATACACTGAAGAAAAAAAAATCACGGAAACAACCCATTCACATTAGCTTCAAAACAAGCAAACAAACAAACAAACAAACAAACAAAAAATATCTTGGAATAAACATAATCAAGGAAGAGAAAAAGCTCTACAATGAAAACTCTGAAACACTGAAGAAATATATTGAACAGAAAACTAGAATATGGACTCTAGAAAATACAAGCTTAAGTAAGAAATTTATATAGTTGCTTAGGTTATAAGGCCTACAGTTGACAAATGGGACCTTGGCTTTTGTATAAAAAAAGAAACAGCTAACTGAGTAGATATCAACAGAACAGGAGAGAAATCTTTGCTAGTTCTATATCTAACAAAAATTATCACCTGGAATATATAAAAAATATAAAAGACTAACTTTCAAGAAAATAGACTACCTAACTTTAAAAAATCAACTGAGAAATTGAACAGAGAATTCTTAACAAAACAAAAACAAACAGAACAACAACAAAACAGGCAACCACCAAACAAACAAAATGACCAGTAAACATTTTAAAAGTGTTTGAGGTTATTAGCCATCAAAAATGCAAATTAAAATTATTTGAGAATCTATCTCACTGCAGTCAGACTTGCTATTATTCAGAAAACAAATGACAACAAATGGTGATGAGGACATGGGGAAGGGTAGACCTTATTCATTGTTGGTGTATACTGAAACAGCTACTATGGAAATCCAGTGTGGAGGTTCCTCAAGAAACTAAAAACAGAAGTACCATATGATCCAGCTTTATCACTCCTGGGCATATACTCAAAAGATCCTCCATCCTACCACAAAGATATGTGCACACTATGTTTACAGTTGCTCTGTTGCCAACAGCGAAGAAATACAGGCAGCCTAGAGGTCTATCAGATGATAGACAGTGAAAACATGGGGCATATACACAATGGAATTTAAATCAGCCTATAGAAAACTGAGAGGCTTTAAGTGAGAGAAGGTAGTGAACACATGTGAGATGAATACTGGGGATGAAGAGAGTGAAGAAGAGATGTGGGCAGTGAGACTTCCGGCATAAACTAAAACAAAGTACGTATAAAAAGCCACTAGGAAATCTGCTACTTTGTCAGTTTACTGATACAATAAAATAAAATAGGAGTAGAGAGATGTTCCAGTGTGAGTTTAGTTGCCAGCACCAATACAACAAGCTTGGGTGTCCTGTTATCATCTGTTTAATTTTAGTGCTGAGCGATCTGGCACCCTCTCTTGGCCTACCTGTGTCCTTAGTTATGTATTAATCTCACAAGTATACATATGCATGCTTGCAAATAAAGAAAAAAAAAACCACAACCCACAAACAAAACCCTTGCCTTTAAACTATCTGACAGGGAGACCAAGGGGGGAAAACCCCCCACAAAACCCTTGCCTTTAAACTATCTGGCAGGGAGACAGCACACTATTGTTGACTGCTCTCCAGAGCTCGATGGTAAGATCCCTCTGGTAAATACAGCATACGCTTTGGATGTAAGACATAGAGCAATGAAGCTGTAACTGAGCTGGAAGTGTCTTCCCTGCTTAGTAGCACTCACAGTGTGAGAAAATGCCATGCAGACTACTGGGGGAAAATGATCATCAATAGTCTTCCTCAGCTGTGATATTGTGTGCTCTATGATGAACCTGTCAGGCAACATGAGCCACTGGTAAGGTAATGGCATGGCTACAATGGGGTAAACAACTGCTTTCTGGTTGGATTTAAGGCCCTGGTCATGAGAAGGGACTTCAAGTCTAGATTGTAACTTGGACAAAACCCATGCCTTGGTAGGTAAGAAGTCATAAGTTCTAGTGGGGAAGCTACTGCTATTGTTTTGCTAAATGGGTCTGATATGCCTGTCAAACGCCTACTAAATATGTACATTAGAGCCACAGATTGGTACTGCTTTCAGTCTTTCAGCCTTGGTCAGAAAAGTCCTCTGAAGAGTAGCCAGGGCTCTCGCCAAAGAGGCTCTCCAGCCCCAAATATAAGTTTCTTAATGATTCTACTTTTTGTAGAAACCATTGACTTGAAAAGTTTAATATACTTTAAAAGAAACCATGAGAAATTTTTCAGAATAAAAGTGTCCAGGTTCCCAGATGATTTTGACTTAAAACTCAAGAGATTACAAAGCTGTTTTAAAGATGTGAAGTAAATCTAATTCCCCAACCATAGCCTGTTAAGATCTTGGTTAACAGTTAAAAAATATAATTCAATTTATTTTGTTTGACCAATTTTTCACTTTCATCTGCTGTTGCAATTGTCTTAAAGTGAACCCAACATTCTCATTGGTACTAGAACTAGGTTACTTGGGTTACAAAGATTTTTACCTTGAGTGGTGAGCTGCCCCTCCTGAGCCTGCACACAACGAAGCTCTTCAATGGTTTCCTTCAGAGAGTCTCTTTCTGTTCGCAACCTCTAAAGGAACATAAAAACAAGGTCAGATCTACAAATGTACTAAGCACTAGTCTAAGCCTAATGCAGGAAGATAAACAACAAAGAACAGGGGCTTACTTTTAGTTTTGATCTTTTATGGAGAGATCATGAGAGTAGAAACAGATGGAAATGACTGTCTTTTTTATTTTTACAATACTAAACATCTTATTGCAAGGCAACATGCTGTTCATGTTTAATCATGAGGCACAAGGCTAACTAGTCTGTCCTTAACCATTTTATTAACATTCTTTTCATTAAAGGCTCAGGATGAAGACTAAATACTCACAAACTGTGAAAAGCAAAAATATGATAAACAGTAGTGCAGCAGTGTCCTCCATACTACTCCTCAGAAAACAGAAAGCTACACATGTAGGAAGTCAAGAGCAAAAAGGTGTAAGACTAATGATAAAAATATATGTGTATTAAATAAGTCAAAACTGAAGGAAAACTATCCCTTTATTTTTGAGAAAAAGAGGAAAGATGTGACCTAAAAGTAGAACAGTCAATTAAAAAAATAGAAGGAATTAATGCTGTCAAAATGAATTAAATTCCAGCCTTAATTTTAGTACTTCTGAAAAGCAAAATGCCTATTACATACTCACATCCTTTTCTTTCTGAAGACCATCAACTTTTTCTTTTAGTCGCTTATATTCAAAATCTAATTTATCTGCTTTCTTTGATTCTTCAGATAATCTATTTTGCAGCTCTACAACCTGATATAAAATATAAAAATGAGATAAAATCTCAATTTTTGTAAGTTGAAACATTAGACGTGATCATCAAGGTGGTAGGATGTGCTTAGTGGTAGAGTGTATGCACGTTAGTGTAAAGGCCCTTAAGTAATGCTCCGCATGGCCCGTTCCAAACTAAACAAAGCACATTTCAAAAAGACACCGTTACCTTCTGCAGGTTTATGAAAACCCTATCCCCATAATAGTTAAATAAATGTATATAATCCATCAGTCTAAGAGGAGGCAGAGAAATAGGAATTAAAATCTGTGTAGATAAGATAGGCTCCTAAACTAGTCATCTAGAATTATGATAACAATCACTAAACAATCTATAGGGGCTTTTATTTCTAGCCAAAACAACAACAACAACAACAAAAACCCAAACAAACAAAAAACAAAAACAGAAAAAAATAAGAAAGAAGCAAGAAGGAAAGATAGGAAGGAATGCTAGAGAGGATATAACTACACAGTCAGTCTTGCAAGAGGCTAAAACTTCAGTGGGATGTGCATGCGGCTGTGGATAACGAGAGGTGCTAGTTGTCAATCAGAGGGTCCTTGAGCTTTGAGTTAAGGGCTTTGAGTGGTTATTAAATAGTCCTGGCTGTGAAAAAGAAGAGTAAGGGGAGAGAAACAAAATAAACCAAAAAAATATCTGGGTATGGTGGTGCAAACTTAATCCCAGCACTCAAGAGGCAGCGAGCGTCAGGCAGATCTCTATAAATTCCAGACATGCCAGGGCTACCTAGCGAAACTCTGTCTTAGAAGGAAGGGAGAAAGACTTATTAGCAGGCAAGAAAAATGAGTGCTATGGGTTTAAATGGAAATACTATGGAAATGTGTGACCCTGGCCAGTTGATATACAGATTTGTGTTTTAATCTTCACTACTTGTTTTGTTTAGGAAATGCAAACACAGGCAATGGAAGTAGTTCTTCTTGTTAATGCTGGAAAACATGGCTTGAGGAAACAGATACACTGACTGGAGGGAAAAAAAAAACACAACTCAGGACTTTCATGATTCCCAAATGAACTAATGAATGAGCAAGACTGAAATTATGCAGGCAATGAAAATAAGCTATAATTAATAAGAATCAGCAGGCAATATTACCAGTAATTACAGTTTTATAATTTCACCAAGTATTCCAGATTGAAATTGTCAAATATAACATATATATTAGATTTAAAAAAAAAGAAAAAAGAGTGCATGTCAGTGATCCCAGCACTCAATAGGCAGTGGCAGAAGGACTGCACATTCAAGTACAGGCTGTGCTCCAGGGCAAGTCTAGTTAAGGTCCACAAGAAGACCATGTTTTAGAAACACCAAAGGGGAGAGATCTAGTTCAGAAGTAGAATGCTTGCCTAGTACACACAAGACACTAGGGTCTTTCCTTAACACAGGGGAGGCAGAAGAAGTACATACACGTTTACAAATGTGAGACTATGACTACAGCACACACAGAGGACTTGTAGAAAGAAAAATGCCATAAAAAGGATATTAATTATCTAATATATGGGGTCTGGAGAGATGGCTCAGTGGTCAAGAGTACTTGCTGCTTTTCCAGAGGACCTGAGCTCAATTCCCAGCACCTACATGGCAGCTCACAACTGTCTGTAATGCCAGTTTCAGGGGATCTGACATCCTCACATAGACACTCAAGTAGGCAAACACGAATGCACACAAAATAAAAATAATTATTTTTTAAAAAGAATCTGATCATGAATAGGTACAGAGAACTAATGTTTTATGCAGTTTCACTGTATTTCTAGAATTTTCTTTTAATTCTAAATCAGATATGCTTTATTAGTTCAAAAAGAGTTCAGTGATTTTTTTTCCTTCAAATAATATTCACCATTTCTTTCTACTTTCTCCTCTAAACATATTACTGCTCATTTCATATTGCATGTTTTAAGAAGTATAATTTTTAGCTGTACTTATTTTGCATAATTTCATTCATATTCAAGTTCATTATATCATGAAGTTCCTTAAGTTTGCTGTATAATTGAAACTTTTATAATAAAGTACTGAGAAGAGAATATATCCACCAAAGAATCTTGGCAGCCAGTCATGATGTATAGGATAAAGGCACTTGCTGAAGAGCCTGATGTTCTGACTTCAATATCCAGAACCCACATGGTGAAAAGACAGAGGAGATTCCTGCAGGTTGTCCTACTGCCTCCATATGCATGTTGAGACACACTTATGAGCCCTGCAACCAAATAAATAAAATGTAATAAAAAGGAAATAAATATAGATTCAGTTAAGAATCATTTCGTGGTTGGATAACAATGTCCTCCACAGACTTACATATTTGAATGCTTAGTCACCTAGGAGTGGAACTTTTGAAAGGATTAAAATGATTAAGAGGTGTGGAGTTGCAAGAGAAAGTATGCCACTGGGGGGTGGGCTTTGACAGTTCAGAAGCTTAAGCCAGGCCCCTCATCACTCTTTCTTCCAGCTGTCTGCAGGTCAGGATGTAGAAATCTCAGCTACTTCTTCAGCACCATGTCTGCCTATGTTTCACCATGCTCCATGGACTAAGCCTCTGAAGCTGCAAACAATCCCTCAATTAAATATTTTCTTTTATAGGAGTTTCCTTTGTCATGGTTTGTCTTCATAGTGACTATGACAAATCACAAAAACAAAACTTGGTAGAGTAGTCACTTGATTTTGGCAGAAAGACCTAGAAGTGATGGATAGTTTTATAAAGCTATGTGTTGTGGTATAGCCCTTGCTAGGCAGCACCAAGAATTCTGCTTGTGTTCTCTTACCTGTCTCTTGTATGTTTCAAGCTGACCTCGGGCCGCATTAGCCTTTCTTAATTCTTCCTCCAGACTGACAGTGTTCTGCATGTACATAGTATTCTTTTCTTCCAAGAGCTTAACCTGCCGCCTCAAATCCCCAAGGTCTTCCAGCTTCTTTTTATAAGACTCAACTTGACCTTCTAGTTTAGATACTTTATCAGAAGAGTGTCTAAAACGAATGGGAAATTGGTCAGAAACACACACTGTAAAGCTGTAGAGCTTTTCAGATAATGTTAAAATAGGAGACAATGCCAGGACTTATATATATATTAAATCATAAAACCTAAAGTGAATCTAGGTTTTGTTAGATTAAGGAAAAAAATCCTAACTTAAATTATAAAAAAAAAAAAAAAACATGTCATTAAGAATGTCAAAAACATAAAAAAAAAAAACAAAAAAAAAAAACAGGGGGGTGGGAAACCAGCAAAATGACATTTAGCAGAGAAGTAAAACAAAAGTAGATGTTTAAATGATTTGGCAACTACTACGTTATTATGAAACCTCAGTAAAGGTTTCAGTAGAGGAACGGAGGTAGGGAGTAGCAGATTTTAGGGGATTGAGTAGAGTATAAATTTTAACTTCTGTAATCTTAAAAAAATATTGAAGATACCCGTGTGTGTGTGTGTGTTTAAGATTCAAGAGAAATTAATACTTGATGCAACATAGCCCCTGTGTAGGCAAGAATGCTTGAGAATGTCAGCAGTGAGGGTCTTAGTACTAGAAGAAAAAAGAAGAGAGATGGGTGTGAATGCAAAGAGGCACAGAGAACTAACAAGGCATGGTAGCTTCCCTCTCAGTAGTAGGACCCAAGGCCATCTAGTGAGTCTAAGCAATGGAGTGTGGTGGGTAGCAGACAGGTGGTAAAAATTATAAAAATATTTAGCAGCTATAAGAGAAGTGGGAGATAGCCATGTACTGGTGAGTAGTAGGCCAGGGGTAACAGAAAAGATCCCTAATTTGTAACAGGACTAAATTACAGAACATGGCATTGTGAAAGAAACAGAATGGTGACAGTAAGATGAGAGAGGTCCACCTGTTCAAGAGTTGATGTTGGTGTTTCAGCTGTAGCTAAGGGAGCAAGTTTGCAGCCACATATGCACAAGCATGGAAGTATGCATGGAATTTTGCCTTGAAGGACAAAGTGTGCTAGAGCTTATAGATGCCTGGAGTTGTGGGTGCTGGCAGAGCACCTAACACAGAGGTACTCAGGTACCTACACAGAGAATATATGAAGAGAAGGAGAAAATGGCCAGCAAAGAAATGAAGCCAGTATTTAAGCCAAAGGCCAAAGGATTAGAGGGCTCAGAATTAAAGAGCAGCAGGAAGTAACAGCCAGTGCTGGACAAGTGTGAATTTATAGCCACAGGTATTTAACATTGATTTGATACTCATTTGTCATATCAACTTAAGTGTTTACGAAGTTAGTTATTATATTCATTTGAACTTTAATTTTAAGCACACATATGCGCAGAGATGTCAGAGTTTTTAACATCTGAGACGGAGCTGTGTGTGTGTGTGTGTGTGTGTGTGTGTGTGTGTGTGTGCGCGCACCTGTGTTGTAGGGTGGACTGGCGGTCCTAATATTCCAGTGAAGGGACACTGTTTACCTGAGAACATCTATTTCATCCTTTAGAGACTGAGCTTCATCTGCTAAAGTGGTTAGTTCATCATTCTGTTGCCGAAGCTCGGAGATTTCCTTTTCTAACTCCTCACAGCGTATTCGATAATCATCTTTGGCTGCTTCTAGTCTGTAACCAAATAGATAAAAATAGTTAAAAAGCTCTATTTAGTGTCTTATAATTCTCCTTAGAAGAATGAAAGAAAACAAAAAGAAAAAGCACATAAATACATTCTTCTTGAACATGTTTCTTACTTGTGTAGCCATAAACTCTACCCATATATGTCATGAAAACAGGTTTAACCCCTCTGGCAATGGGCAGAAAGACACCTTGTTGGTGTGGTGGTGTTCTTCTATCAGTCAGGGGCAGAGCAGATGGCAGTCCTTTTTGTTTTCAGAGAAGAAAATGATGTGGTTCTTTTATCAATGGGTTTCATTTTAACATTTTAAATTTTGTACATGCAAGTTAACTACTTGACTCATGAATTTTCAATTGCTTTCTTTTGTCCCCTTGCTCTCCTTTTTGTTTTCCTCCCCTTGCTCTCTTTTTTTGTTTTCCAAATGGTCCTCTCAGATACTTTTTTTTTTTTTTAAACTAAGGGCTTTCTTCAGCAAGTGACTCTTGAGCTATATACAAAAAGTTGGTTGAGAATATTGTAGGTATAAGAGAGTCTTTGTTCTAAAAAATGGACATAACATCCTTTAAAGCCCCATGTATGGGCAGTCATTTTTTATTCAAGCTTGATGCTCAAGTACACAACAAGGACATTTGCTCAACCATGTTCATAGCAGCTTTATTCGTAATAATCAGAATAGTCAGAAGCTGGAAACAACCCAGATGTCCCTCAATGGAGGAATGGATATAGAAATTGTAGTACATTTATACAATGGAATACTACTCAGCAATTAAAAACAAGGATATCATGAAATTTGCAGGCAAATGGTGGGAACTAGGAAAGATCATTCGTGACTGAGGTATCCCAGAAGGAGGAAGACACACACGGTATACACTCAATCCTAGCCATATAATATAGGATAAACGTACCAAAATCTATACACCTAAAGAAGCTAAGAAGGAGGATCCTTGGTAAGATGATCAATCCCCACTCAGAAAGACAAACAGGACAGACATTGGAAGAAGGAGAAAACAGGAAACAGGATGGGAGCCTACCACAGAGGGCCTCTGAAAGACTCTATCCAGCAGTGTATTAAAGCAGATGCTGAGACAAATAACCAAATTTTGGGCAGAGTGCAGGGAATCTTATGAAAGAAGGGGGAGTTAGCAAGACCTGGAGAGGACAGGAGCTCCACAAAGAGAGCAGCAGAACCAATAAATGTGGGCACAGAGGTCTTTTGTGAGACTGATATTCCAACCAAGGACCATTCATGAATATAACCTAGAAACCCTGTTCAGACGTAGCCTATGGCAGCTCAGTATCCAAATGGGTTCCCTAGAAATGGGAACAGAAACTGTCTCTGACATGAACTCAGTGGCTGGTTCTTTGATCACCTCCCCCTGAGGGGGGTGCAGCCTTGCCAGACCACAGAGGAGGACAATGCAGCCGGTCTTGATGAGACCTGATAAGCTACGGTCAGATGGAAGGGGAGGAGGACCTCTCCTATCAGTGGACTTGGAGAGGGGCATGGGAGGAGATGAGAGAGGGAGAGTGGGATTGGGAGGGAATGAGGGAGAGGGCTACAGCTAAGATACAAGGTGAATAAACTGCAATATAAAAAAAATCAAAATTTAATAAAAAAAGAATATATATATCAAGAAAAGCCATAGTAAGACCTACATAAACTAATGTCAACATTTTGGGGACCTATTGTCCAGTCTTATTTCTGTTCACATTATTTTCTCCAAATATGGGTTAATACTATTTCCAGATCTAATTAAACATACTTGTTTACTTGGTATACAATCTTCCTTTGAAATACAAGGTCCTTCCTCTCTCCTGTCCAAAGTATTCTATGCAGTTGACTACTTACTTTCAATTTTTCTTATATAAGTATTTAATGAATAGCTGTAAATTTTATTTAGTTCAATTGAATCTTACACTTCATAGCTTTTGCTTTTAGTAAACATTTTGAATTTTTTTCCATTTAATCGTACATTTTCTGACAGCATTTTTAATGTTTTAAAATTTAACATTTAAGTTTTTCACTTCTCCTGAAACTATGTTGGTATATTATAAAATGTTAAAACTGAAATCCAACTTTATCTACTACAGCAATTTGTTTTACTAAAAATGATTTTAGATTTGGGGGTCAATTTCATATTTTATTTTTTTAACTTAAAATTAAAAAATAATTTCATGTGTATGGATGCTTTGAGGGCATGAATGTCTGTGTACACGTGTGTGCCTGGTTCCTGTGGAGGCCAGAAGAGGGCATCATATCCCCTGGGTCTCAAGTGACACATGGTTGTGAGAGATCAAATACAGGTCCTCTGTGAAAAACGAAAGAGCTCTGGAGTGCTAAGCCATCTCTGTAGCCCCTTAGCTTCTCATTTTCTGATTACATCAACTTACCTTCGGTACTTTACTAGCATTCTTCCTGCTTTCTCTCAATGTTTTTGCTTTCCACAAAGCTCCTGGGCAGGTACTAGTAGAACAGCTATGAGGATGTAGAATTGGTTCTTGACTTTTTTCCCTTCACTCACTGTTACTTTGCAGCTGAGTGCCTTCACAGTACATAGCTTTGATGGAATTTTCCTAGGTGTGAAGACATTTCAGATGCGTGGGAAGACTTTGGGAAACTGTTTTTCTTATATAGTTACTGGAGTCTGTAGTTACCCACAAGCTCTAAACCTTTATTCTTAACGGGTGTGTGTGTGTGTGACAGAGGACAACTTTTGTTGGAGTTGGTTCCCTTCTTTCATCATGTGGGTTCTGAGGAGTGAACTGAGGTGGTCAGGCTTGGTGGCAGGCATCAAGTTTACTGGCAGAGCCATCCTGCCATGTGTAGTTAGCTTTAAAAGACTGTTTAAAACTTAAAAACTAGGTTGTAAGGAGTTCCCTTTTACCTGAATGTTTCTTCTTGCAGCTGCTCTAACTGAGTCTGAAGTTGCAAATGTCTTCTTCCTGCTGGACTGTTGGGATCTTCTATAGAATCAGACTGATTGAGTCGCTCCATTAATATCTGATTTTCTGCCAATAAACTACTTTTCTCTTCTTGCAGAGCTGCAACCTGTTGGAAGTAGAACAGTGGTTATTCAACTCAAACTCTTGTGAATTACCATTATGAATTAAAACATCTGTCTGCTTTTGAGACAGGTTCTTACTATGTAGCCCTGGCTGACCTCACTATGACCAGGCTGGCCTCAGTCTGCTGTAGAATTGCCTGCCTCTCATTGCTCAGTACCACCTTGTATGGACAATCACTCTATTGAAAACATCTACATTATTTTGAATGTTATTTATGCAAAACAATTTTAAAAAAAGATTTTAAAAATTAATTTCTATTTATTTTGAGATAAGATCTTCTTCATTGTTCAGGAACTTTCAATTGCTGGGCTCAAGTGAAACTCTTGCATATGCCTTCTAAGATGCTGGGATCACAGGTCTAGGCCACTGTATCTGGCTTTATTCACATTAAATAAGAGACTTCACCAATGATGTACAGATGCTAAATGAGCACACAGAAAGACCATCATCAAGAGTCACCAAGTGAATGCAAATTCAAGCCTCAAAATTATCAAGTCTCATGACAAGAGATAGAATTTAAAAAGACTGAATTAACTGTTAAACACAAAGTCTCAGATACTTGTGACTGAAAATACAAACTCTCAGATAACAATACAAAATCCTTCAATTATCCAAACCCACAGAAAAAGCCAGGTGGCCATGCATGCTTACAGCGCCAGTGTTGAGGGGCTGTGACAGGTAGATCCTGGAGCTTGCTGGCCAGCCAGCTTAGCCAAAACCCTGTGTTTCTAATTTGTTAAGAGACCCTGCCTCAAATGAATAAGGTGGGCAGTGACAGAGCAGCAGGACCCTCGGCATTTTCCTCTAACTTCTGCAGGTAAAGTTCCCCAGTGGCCTACAACACATACAAATTAAAAAGGCTCCCACCCCACTAAAAGTGAGTTTACTGGCACAACACGAAGGCTCAAACATTGATATCTCTTCTCTTTTTTTCTTTGTTAATATCCATTTATAATGAGCTTAATTAAATTATAAAAAGACAGGCAGCATCTTTATCCATCATACTCTTCTAAATCAGAGCCTATTTACTTGTTTTTCTTTTGTTCTAATTAGGATACACCATGTCATGTGACAATCCCCAGTGCATTTGATGGTCTTTGTGGTGGTACAAAACACAGGGGCCTTTTACCTGCATATCTAGTTCATGGCATCTTTGAGCAATTTCTTCCTTTGCTGACAAAGCTTCATTTAATTCCTCTGTAGTTTTCTTCAACTAGTTAGAAACAAACAAACAAACAAACAAAAAAAAGCATAAGAAATATTTCAATACAAAATGAAGACATTATGTAGGTGTAACACAGAATTAAAACACTTTTATTTTATGTAGAGGGAATTAAGAACATTCTCGGTAAAGACTGAAGATAAGACACTTTTTTCTTTTCTTTTCTTTTCTTTTCTTGTTGAGATGGGTCTCACTCTGGCTGGCCTGACATCCCCTACATATACCAGACTGGCCTCAAACACACAGAGAGATCTGCCTGGCTCTGCCTTATGAGTACAAGGACTAAAAAGCATGCCAATACACCCAGATTATTCTGATTCTTAACAAAAAACATTTCTATGTCAAATTCCTTATTATAATAAATTCTAAGTTAGCAAATTACAAAAACATTGATTAAATTTAAAAAATGTCTCTTTATTTCATATATATAAACCTATGTTTAATAAAGATACAAAAACAAAAATTCACCCACAACCGCAAAGAAACAATTCCACAAAGAGAAAGGCAAATTATAGCTTCAGTTAAAATTATATCATGTCCAAAGACTTTATATAACATTTAGAAACCCTGAGCCAAAAATAAGGAAAAGCAAAAGATACAAAGATTTCTTCTCATGCAGAATACTTTAAACTAAAAACTGATTGCAAAAGCCTTTCATTCTTAAAAATACATCGCAAAGTTCTTTCTCAAATACATTTGTTAGCAGTCACATGTGCTGGCACACTCCTTTAGTCCCAACACTCAGGAGTCACAGGCAGGGCAGTCAGTTTAAGGGCAGCCTGGTCTACGAATCAAGTTCTGGAACAAGGAGAAAAACCATGACTAGAAAACAGGGATTACTGTAAATTAAAGGACCTTGTTTTAAAGTGGGCTGTGCAAGACTACCATTTTTCTTCTGTGCCACGTTAATTCATTTCTCTGTGTGTGTGCGCACATGCTCACTAGGATTGCAAACAGACGTTAAAGAATAATCGCAGGGATTGTGTTCTGTCCTCCTGCCAAGTGGGTCTAGGGATTAAACTCAGTTCCTCAACTTGCCAGCAAATGCCCTTGCTGCTCAGTAGGTGCTGAGATGGCTGCTGGCCATCTTACTGGCCCATGCAGTACTACTTTTAATACAAGTCTAAGCTTAATTATAATTAACAAAGAAGCTTAAGTCCTTAAATTTATGCAAAATATAAAATTTTATTAATGTAGTCCATAAGCAACTTCAACTGCATTTTCTCACTGAAATCTGAAATTTATCTGTTTCAATAATTGCGTTAATAAAGATAATTACATACCTGGCGATCAAGATCAACATAGGCATCATTTCCAGCAGAGACAGGAGACTCTTTACTCATTAGCTGAAATTAAGATTTAAATTTATTATAACCATGAAGCAAAAACACATTCTTGGCATTATAACAAAATGAGCATTCAGAAACAAGTAAAACAACAACAACAAGAAATTAAAACACAAAAGCAACCGACTGTTTTCTGTAATTAATTCTTCTGTTTTTTTTCATTCTAAGTAATGTCTACACTTAAAATTAAACATCTGAATTCTGGTGTTCATTTTTTACTGAGAGTCCCAGCTATAAGACTCAAGAATAATTTATTCTCAAGGATAACTATGTTAAGAGACTGACTAAATGCAATGTCTTTTCAATAATAAGACAACAGTGAGTACTTATTCATTCTAATTAACAAATGTGGAAAGGGGAAGTCGTTTTTTCAGTGGTGTTATGAAAATAGGAAAGGGATTTGTTGGGAAGAAGTTCAGTGGAAGGAGAATGAGAAAGAGTAACGGGGCAATGGGACCAAATTGTATTCAAGTATAAAACCATTAAAGACGAAAACTAAGAGGCATGAGGCTAGTTTAATGGCACAGTGCTTGCAGAGCATGTGCAAGGCCCAGGACGACACAAGAATGCCAGCAGCAGCAGCAGTAGCACAACAAAACTGGAATATGAAATTTCCTTTTATGGAAATGCCATATGAAGCTAATTACCTGTTTAACTAATTACCTGTGTTAACTTTTTTGTTGTTGTCAAATAATTATTATTATTATTTACAATTTTTCACTTTGTATCCCAGTTGTAGCCTCCTTCCTAAACTCTTCCCTGTTTTACTCTCCTTCCCTCTTCCTCCCCTATTACTCTTCCCTAGTCCGCTGATAGGGGAAGCTTTCCTCCCCTATAGGCTGACCCTAGCCTATCAGGTCCCATCAGAAGTGCCTGGACCCTCTTCCTCTGTGGGCTGGCTAGGTACTCCCACCAGGGAAAAGTGATCAAGGATCAGATAATCGAGTTCATGTCAGAGACTATCTCTTCTCCTCTTAATAGGGAGCCCACATGGAAACTGAACTGTCTATGTGCTACATCTGACAGGGGGTCTAGATCCTCTCTATGCATGGTCTTTGGTTGATGCATCAGTCTCTGCAGTCCCCCCTGGATCCTGCCCCCCCCCTTTGGCTTTGTTGGTCTCCTTGTGTGGCTCCTGTCCCCTCCGGGTCCTTTTTATATCCCCTTCTTCCATAAGTCTCCCTGTGCTCTGGGAATAAACATGGACATTAGTGTTAACCCAAATTAATGACAATGCCTGCACCTTTCCCCAGTGCCTTAGACTCAAAGAATGTGAGAGAAGTTGGGAAGCAAAGGCACAGAACTGTAATCATGAACACAATCAGGAGCAGACTCAAATGCTCCAGTCCTTATGTTCTGTATGGAGAAGGGGAGAAGGACAATTAGAAATATGCAGATGTTACATTGAGAGCTCTTTTGATTTCAGCTATCACTCTAATCTTTTGAGATTATTAAAATTCACAAAAGACTTTTTGAATAAAAAAGTAGTACTCAAATAGAAGAAAAATTCCAAACATAATCAAAGTGATCCTATTACCAAGGATCACCAAAGTGATCCTTTTAAAATTTTGAGATATGTGGGAATTAGCTATCTCTACTAGTCACAGCCCAGGCGGAGTTCAAGTAAAAAGGTAAATACTGTAATATATGATTAAATATGTGCTGGAGTATTCAGAGAGAATATATGTCTAATTCAAAGGTAGGGAGAAGGGGCTGTCTAATCTTCTTTTCCTGTTTTCATCCTTATCACAACACAGCAGCTAATGCTCTAGGAAAAGCCAACAGTCCATTCTAAATGCACCCTTCTCTCACTGCAGGTAGCTGCTCCTGAGCGTCACTGAGCTCCCAGACAGGTGCTATCACATGTCACCCTCTCGTGCCAGCTCTCTTGCTTTGACTTTATAGTTTACACCGTACTTCCATTTCTTCTGCTAACATCTTCTTTTGGGACTTTCCCTCCTTATATTAGGACTCCACAGGTTTTCTTTGTGTGTATCTGTGCTCTCTACCCCCTTTTTGTTAAGACACAGCCTTGAATTCCCTAGATAGCTGAGGGTTATTTTATTCCCGTTCCCTCCTCTGACTCCACTTCCTGATTTTGGACATGTATATCCCAGCCACCCTCATTTACACGGTCGAGAAGATGCAGGTTTTTGTGTATGTCAGACAAGCACTGCACCAACTGAGTGATCCCCAGTCCTATCATTTCTCTAACCAGCAAACTTCTCTATTTAATCTAAATTTCATAATAACTTACTGCTTCCAAGTAACTTTCATCACTGTTCTTCCAACTTCATTATTTCTAATCAGCAAAAATCTTAATTCAAGATCAACCTAATAAAAGATCAACCCAATTACCTATTTTTGGCCCATATATTCTGACTAGTTTAGTGCTGACGGGGAAAAAAACAAACAAACCACTCACATCCCCCGCTCCAAACCCCACAATAAAACCAAAACCAACAAAACTGGTATTACTACAACTATTTCTAATTTCTACCAAACTTCAAAGTTGCTTGAAAGTAAAGAAATGCTTTCCAGCCAGCAACCTCTCCATCCTCTTTAGATTCTTTCAACTTCCCCTACTATTTATTTGACGTATGAGTATCTGTGTACATGTTATGTGCGTGCACCACATGCATTTCTGGTGCTTACAGAGGCCAGAAGAAGGCTGTTGGATCCCCATGGGCCTAGAGTTACAGGGTTAAGCTACCATGTGAGTGCTGGGAATCAAACCCAGGTCCTGTGGAAGAGCAGCAAGTGATCTTAACCACTGAGCTCTCCAGCCCCTCAGTCCTTTTCTTTTCCCCAGCCCTAATTACCTGCACTCCATAAAATCCCAGTCTCAGGTAAGAACTTTTCTACGTTGCAATCTATAAGGAGCACCTCTTCCCCTTCTTTCCCGTTATGCACACTGGAAACCGCCATCCAAAGCCACTCTCTCTACCTGTCCTCTTCATTTCGTCTCCTCCCAGCCTCTAAAAGCCTGTTCAATTGATTAGCAGTCTTCTTGCTTACAAAACCCAGCCTTGAGCTCCTCTTCTTTTGTCTTCTTCCAACTGACATCTAAGTAGTTAAAAAGAATCCTTGAATAAAAATTATTTTTTATAATATTTTTATTGATTATTTGGGAATTTCACAATCACTTTCCAGTTCTTCTATGTGCCTCCCTTACCCCTGTAACCTCCCATCCTTGCCCTCCCCCCCAAAAAAAGAGAAGAGGAGAAGAAGGAAAAAGTAGGGGGAGGAGGAGAAAAGAGGAAGAAGAAGAATGAAGAGGAAGGAGGAAGAGGAAAAAGGAGGAGGAAGGAGAGAGAAGAAAAGGAGGAGAAAAAGGAGGAACAAGAAATCCAATTCGTGTTGCCCATACTCACTGACTGGAGCATGGTCAAACTCCTGATGGTCAGCTCTTTAAAGAAAAGTGAGTCCTTCCTCACCTGCACCCTACCAGAAGCCCTCAACTGAAGAGAGCTACACTTCTGCATCTTTATCACAATTTTTAGAGTTCTCTTTGATGGCATTCTATCTCGGCTGTTACTTTTTTGGGGGTGGTGTGTGGATGTGGGTAGGGATTGTTACAGCAGCCATCTATGTCCTTCTTTCTCAATTTTGAGTCTACAGTCATCAATACTCTGGCAAAAGTAGCTTTTTTGCCATTTACAGTCAGCGGGAACACAGATCATGGACTTCCACATGATTTCTGGCCACAGTATGGGCCACAGATATTCACATTGTCTTCATTGTCAACATGTGCCACAGACCTCAGCCTGGTCTCTGATGGCAGTACAGACCACAAACATCTACACGGCCCTCTGCTGCAGCACAGACCACATACACCTTCACAGCCCTCAGTGGCAGCAGAAGCCAAGACATCAATATGACCTCAGGTGGCAGTGCAGGTTGCTCACATGAACAGGGCTTCAGGTGGCAGCACAGCCCACGGTCATCACATGGCTTCGGCAGCAGCAAAGACATCTGCATGGCTTTCAGGTGACACGGGCCATGGACATAAACACAGCCCCTGCTGCAGGAGGACCACAGATCTAGACATGACCTCAGGTGGCTACACATGCCACTCACATCAACATGGCCCCTGGTGGCAGCACAGACGACAGATATCCTCCTCATAGCCTTCAGTGGTAACACGGGCCATGGACATCAACATGGCTCCTGGAGAGCGATAGTTCCATCTCTCTCCACTGCACACAACCACTCTATTCCTCTGTCTTCCCCACCTTTCTATTGCTTATTCATTCAATGTTCAACATAGTGGCACTGGACACTGTACTGTCACATAGCATATCTTTTTGCTCAAACGGCTTTACGTGGTAACATTCACTGCAGTGAGCTACTGGTCTGGTTCAGTTTCTGGCTTCTGAAGCACCATTAATACTGGACTACTGCTGTGACTTATCTTACCCTGCTATTGCCCAGAGTCAGGGTGATGTTGCCGCTAAGCAAGGTGTCTGGGGACAGGTTCTATGTGAGCGAGCTCCTGGTAGCAGCAGTGGCTCCTGCTGGGAGCTGGCCCTGGGAGCCTAGGGCTGGCCCTATTCAGTATCTACCCGTTTCTGTGGGATCGTAGGTGCGGGCAGCCCCAAGCTCGGTGGGCATAACGTTTGTGCTTGCAGCATGCCGAGCTGCGGGAGTGAAAGGTACAGATTCTTCGTGGCACTGTTCTGCCATCTCTCTTCCCAATTTCATGAGTACACTTTAAAAGCATCTTCCCATAAGACTTGCCCTTTTTCCTTAGTTGTTCCAGAGCTATTGAGAGCATTGTAGACTCCTTTTCTGCTGCATCATCCTTCAGAGCTTCCTAGGGTCCCTCAGATTCCTCAGAGCTCCACCAGAGGGTGCCATCATCTTTTTCCTCCTGAATAGATATTTCTTGGGGCTGGAATACAGCCCTAAGGGATATGGTAGAGCATATTCAAGAACCTGGGTTTGAGCTCTGATATCACCTGACACTGCCCCATGAGCCCCCAAATCACTAAATTTCAAGTGATGATCCTCTAAAATATATAACAGAAGTGGCTGGCAAAGACATAAAATGATGCTTACCATCACTATTCACTACAGAAATATAAAACCAACCAACCAGCCAGCCAGCCAGCCAACATAATAAGATACTGTGTTATACTTATCAGGAAAGCTATTCCAGAATTTCATTTCTGGATATTGATATTCTTTCAAATTAGAATGGGATCATATACCCAGCCCCCAGTTTCATAAGTCAAAAATGCCATAAACATACTTAACCTACTGAACACACAGATTAGCAACACGGCACACTATAGAATACTGTTAACCTTTACGATCATGTAGCTCAGCAGTTCTCAACCCGCGGGTCACAACCTCTTTGGTGGTCACATACCAGATATATTTACACTATGATTCATAACAGAAAAATTATAGTTATGAAGTGGCGATGAAAATAATTTTATGGTTGGGCTTCACCACAACATGATGATGTATTAAAGGGTCACAGCATTTGAAAGGCTGAAAACCAGTGCTGCAGCTGCACGAAAACTGCAGTAGACTGCGGCTGCAAAATATCATGCAGGTCTTTCATTCTCCCCAGAATTCTTTCGGCTTCTGCAGTCTCACTTAGGCTGGCCTTGAACTCTTGATTCGTTTATCACTACCTCCTGAATGCCATGATTATAGATATGCACCACCATGACCATCAGGTCTTACTTTCCTTTTGCCTGTTGGACTCTACAGCATCTTCACACCTCCCCATCTTCCCATCCCTCACCTCATTCTTCCTTGTACAGTCTCATTTCTCTCAGTGGCCTTACTCAACGTCCCCAGGAAAGCTGCTGTTTCAGATGGTTCTGTGTTTCCCTTTTTGTGAGTTTTAAACCATATAAATTCTTGTCTAACTATTTTCTCTCTGAGACTCTGAGAGGGAGAAATACACTTTATCAGAGAGAATTCTCATATCTTTTCACATCTTGTATCTGTAGTTGCTGGTCTTCATTGGGCTTGAACTAAGTGTTTGCTAAATGAGTAAAATCAATATGCACAAAACAGACATAACATACTTAAAAATTTCATTAGGATATAGGGTATACAGAATAAAAAAAATACTTAAAACATTGCTATTTCTCTTGTTTGAACTCTTGTTTTCTCCTTTGTTACAAAGCGTATGTACAAAGTTCTAATAAACGTACCTCTTGAATGGCTGTCATGACGACATGCTGAACAGATTCCTCCATCATCATAATGGCTTGAATGTATTCTGAAAATAAGAATAACCTGGGATGTCACTGTTCAAGTTAAACGATATCAAGAGGTTGAAGGCTAATACTTTCTATAGTTTTCTATGTTTTGATTCTTCCTCAGAGTCCCCTATTCATGGACACTCTGCCCCAAAGACTGAAAACCAAATTTTAACTTTGTTCCAAAGATACTTTGTTCTTGTTCTTTCACATTTATTCATTTGGCTGAGACTGGGTCTTGCTAGCTATCTTCCAACTCACTTTGAATCCTAGGTTGGCCTGGAACTTGTGATCTTCCTATCTTAATGTTTCAGAGTATTTGGATTACTGGAATAGAGTAGCACACTTGGCTCCTTTACTATTTCCTATAAAGCTGAGAATAAATCAGTGATATAGTGAGACCCAAAGTCAGGGCAAAAAAGAACCACATCACTTTTCTACACTCTAAAAGTTATCCTTTATATTAGTCTTTGTTACTTGGCAAAAATACTCTGGTTTTATTTTTATGTGATCAAACCACTAAGTTATATAAATTCTTACCATTATTTTATTTACTATAAAACAAAAACAACTAAAATGAATTTAAAATAGACATGGAACCTGTAACTGAACTACTGTATGATCCTGGGCTTTAAAATACTGTCCTACATTTCTATATGTAAAGCAGAAACTACACCAGTCTCACGCTCACCAAGTCCCAAACCAGGAGGGTCTCAACGGTTGAGAGTATTGTCACTCTGGAAGCAGTATCTCCTTTGCCAAGGCCCTGCAAAGAGTTTTCACTATTTCCAGACCCAATACTGGATGGCAGAAGTGGCTTAACCATTAAAAGAAATTAACATGGCAGATTCCCTTAGGCATACTTATTACAAACACTGTTATTGGATGCAGCTACTGGAATGCATAATGGACCGGCTGCCCGGCAGCTAGCGTAGGTCTTGTCTAAGTGTTCTAACAGAACCACTGTGGCCTATGACATCAAGCAGAAGGACCAGCACACCTAGGATGACCGGCACGTCCTCAAAACTAAAGCCTATGAATGAACATGGAAGAGAAGCAGTGGCGTTGGTATGGGGAAGGGAGACTTAATGGCAGCTACTGGAAATGAAGGAAGTAACAGTAAAAAGAGGTCAGGACATTAGTAGGTATGAGAGGGGAAGCGTTAGTTAAGAAGCGGTGTTGCCACGTCAAGGCCCTTCCCCGCGAACACCGTAAAGTACTAAATGACAAAATGGGGATGACAACTTAATTAATGTGCACTACTTTCAAACTTTCAGGTTCAAAATACAATTCTGTATGATTATTTGATACACATCCATGAGGCAATGCTGGAGAATGAGGCATAATATCTAAGGGAGTTTAGTCTCAATTTTATCTGTTCAAAATCTTTAGTACAAAGAATACAAAGCTTAGAGGATAAAGAAGTAAGTTTTTTTTTCCCCCATTACAAGTAAGAAGTTTGGAAAACCCTATAATATTTATAAGTCCCAACCTTCTAATCTATAAAAATTATTTTATTTTAAAAATTTATTTTCATTTCATGTGTGTTTGTCATTTGCCTACACGTGTGTCTGTGTGAGGGTGTTAGATTCTTTAGAACTAGAGTTACAGACAGTTGTGAGCTGCCCTGTGGGTGCTGGAAGTGAACTTGGGTCCCCTGAAAGAACAGCCAGTGCCCTTAACCGCTAAGCCATCTCTCCAGTCCTAAAAAAAAAATATGTTTTGTTCTGCTATTGCTTAGTAGAATAGTAGGCTGAAGGCAGACACTGGGCTGGCAAGATGGCTCAGTGAATAAAGGTGCTTGCTAACCCAGCCTGATGACTAGACTCTGATCCTGGATGCAGAGAGAGGAAAAAAGAACTGACTTCACCAGTTGTCCACTGACCTCCACACGTACTTTGCGGCACATGTGGTGCCTGCACCCCCTATAGATATATCTTAAAGGAAACCTACGGCCTCTCCCCTACTCCTAAAACACAAGGTCGGTGTTATTATCAGTGTGCGTTCTATTACTAGTCTTTGCCTTTAAAAATGTACTCCAACTTTATTTGCCGCAGTTAGATATCAGCAAAGACAAAAACACAGTCAGGCTCTCACCAATTGCTTTTATAACTTCTTCCAACTGGAAACAATGGCTAAACACAAAGCAGATGTAGACACAGTTTCATTTAGTCTTCAGAACTTAAGAGATTTTGGAGATAAGGACAAAGGATATATTTTATCCACAAGTAGGTAGTATATTACTGAAGCACTTCAGAGAGCCTCCTATCTACCTGCATTATACAGTCAGATTGACAGTTAATGATTAGCAATTCAGAAACCTTTTTTACATGATTCTTAGCTCTTTACTGTATTCCTGAAACCAGAAAATGCCCCAAATCTAGGTAAATGAGAGGTTAAAAAGTCTACTCAACTGGAAGCTTCCCCTTTTTCACTAGCTAGCTTTTATAACGCTGGAATTTACTATTCAGGACACTAGAGGATATGTCACCGACTATTTTACTCAGCTGGGAACTCTGCTAGTAATATCACCTTGCCAGACAAGATGTGACCTCTAGTATAATAGTGGCTTGAAGTGTTATGGGAGTAATCAACTACTTTCCACCTGGATTTTAGACCTGCTCCACAGGAAGAAATCATACTTGGTACTATAAATCTGATCAAAAGCCAGTGGCTAGGGAGGTCACAGTCCCTGGAATGGAGGGAACTTACTACTGTTGTTTTGCTATATGGAAATTATGTGATACGGTCTTCTAAATAGTTATGCTGATACATATAGATTAGTGCTGTTCTCATTCTTGGTCAGAAGTTTCTGTTTTCAGTGGGCAATGATTAATACAGAGACTCATAACTGAGTGAAGACGTGCCTGAGTGCTCAGCCCTAAACTGAGACATCTGCATCACCCCTACAAGGCTTCAGGAACACTACAGAAGAGGGGCAAGAAGGAATGTAAGTACTAGAGGGAGCGAAGGAGTGCTGTGAATTGCTGCCGTGTGAATATGACACAGCTAGCACACCCATGACCCCTATCAGTAGTGGCTTTGGGGTAATCGATATGCCATCATTAAAAAACATTTGTTTTTTCAAAAAGAAATAAAGACAGTTTAAGAAAAGTAGGGGCTGGAGAGATGGCTCAGCGGTTAGGAGCGCTGTCTGCTCTTCCAAAGGACCCAGGCTCGATTCCCAGCACCCACATGGCAGCCCACAACTGTCTGTAACTCCAGTTCCACAGGATCTGATACTCCCACATGAACCAATACACATAAAGTAAAAATTAAATAAATGATAAAAGAAAAAAAAAAGAAAAGTAAAGCAATCCAAAGAGTGTGAGATGGTTAGTGAGCTGAAGGAAAAGCTTCCAAAGTCTATACTCTCTATTATTAAACTTACTCACTATTAGAGTATGAAAAAAGTACAAGACCAATACAAATTTGTTTTTCATTACGAGATGTGGAGAAAAGAAAAAGAGTCTAAATGGGGCTGGGGACTTTTGAAATACAAAACAAAACAAAAACCCAAACCAACTCAGCTTCAATTTAAAATAATTATAAATCACTACTTATCATTTTGAATAGCCTCTCACTCCCTATTCTCCAGCAACACTACTCTCAACTCTTTACCATACACAATTACAGTGTTGTGGGCTTTTCAAGGTTCTAAAATATAACTTGAATCTTTCTTACTCTGAGTTATTTTTAACTCACTATCCTCATAGCCTTACTTAAATAACTTCCCTAACACCATGTCTAGACTCTTCTATTACGTTTCACCTTCAGAACACTTACTCTGTAATTACTTTTCTATGATTTAATGATTTTTCCCCCTTCACTAAAGTTCTATGAAGGCAAGCTTTGTGTGTTTTGTCTGGTACTGTTAGTCCTCTTTCATAATACATCAGTTCAATAAATACTTGTGAAATAAATCAAATCTACTTTGGACCTGGGAAGATGGCCCAGTGAGTAGTAGGGCCGAGTCAGCATCAGGACCCAAGTTAGAATGTCTAGCACCCAAACAGAAGGTGGGGATAGGTCTATAACGCTGCAACCCCAGAACTGGGAACAGAGGCCTAACAGGGAACTCCAAGTTTATAGGGCGCCTTGTCCTAAAGAAAGCGGAGGATGACAGAAGATGACCTCCAGTGTCCTTCTCTGGCCTCTGTATGCATATGCATGAGACGCACCATGTGCATGCACCACACAAATGTAAACAGAAGCACCCCAAAGCAAAAATAATCCCTCTACTTTATGGTAAAGCTGAATGTATTTTAAAGAAGTGATCCCCAAATAAGTAAGCCATATTAAAAAAAAAACCTAAAAAAATGACACCATAACTTATGTATCAAAACTGGTTGTCAAGTAAATTCAACAATGCTACAAATCTGTGACCTTCGGGTTGCTATATACATAAAAACACTGTACTTTTTCTACTATCTGCAGACTAAATTTAACTTACTAATTTATCTAATTTGTAGTTTTGCTAATTTTCAGTCATGTAGTCATAGAATAAATATGACTCATCCCATAAATGTCACCTAATAAGTGCCATTTTAAAATGGAAAAAAACAGTTTTCTCCAATGGGTCGCCTGGGTATATTAAAGCATACTGAAGGAGGAGAAGCCCCATGCCTAGCACTAGATGGCCAATACAGAATGAACTCAATGATTCTGCTTTTTTTTTTTTTTTTTTATTCATATTGCTTTGTCTGGACAATTTTTTTTCTTACTTGTTTTTTGCCTGTATATTATGGCTGCTCATCTTGTGTTTTTGTGGATTTCAGTTGCGTATGTGAGTGTGTATGTTTCTTGTAGGGTTTTTGTTTTTATTTTTACTCTTTTATTGATTCTAAAAATAGAAAGGAGACGTTGGGTGGGTGGGAAGATGGGAAGGATATGAGAGGAATTGGAGAAGGAGAAACCATGATCAGAATATGTTGTATAAAAATATTTTTCAATAAAATAAATGGTGGATATGGTAAGTATGGTGGCATATGCCTATAATCCTAGCACCAGGACACAAAGGCAAGCAGATTTCTATTGGTTTGAGGCCATTATGGCCTATATATCAAGTTCAGGCCAGCCAGGGCTACATAGTGAGAGCCTATCTCAAAAAAAAGTTTTTTTTGTGGCTTTAAGAACAAATAATAAATGAAATGAAATTATTGTTTCAAACACTAGCTATATATACATATAGTTTAAAAAGTCATATTTCCATGAAATTCAAATTGTTTGAAATACTATTATGTGTAAGATATTGTGCCATTTTACATGTTGTGTTATTTAGACCCCTAAATTGTCTTGTAAGGTAGTTAGTAAATGTTCATTTACTAAGAAACTGAAATACAAAGATTAAGTTTATCCAGTATCTCTTCACAGTTTGCAAAAGTGCAGCTGGATTTGAACATAGCTTGAATGGGCATTGCAGCCTGTGCATTTATTCAGAAGCACAGAAATATTTCCTAAGCTATCATTTTACAAACTAAATTAATACATATTTTAATAACAACCATATCCAATATAGTTAAAGAGCATTAAGAACAATATATTCAGGCTGGGATGGAGCACAATAGTGCAGCACATGCTTAGCATGAACACAGCCCTGCCAGGTTCCACAGCCAGAATGAAAAATGAACATAACAACAACATAAAACTATTCAATTAGATAGTCTTACAGAGAGGGGAGGAATATGACCATAATAAAATTAGACTCCCTTTTAAAACTTGCTTGAGCAATGAAGGCATCACCAGCAGAACTGTAGAAGACAGGCAGCATGGAAAGGTGTTGTTTACCCTGGTGCTTTACATATGAAGTATGTAATACATATCACTTTCATTAGTTACCTTGCTTCTGTTCACAGTTCACAGCGCAGCCTAGAATGAGCTGGAGCATCCTTCCAAGCTCTGCTGCATCAGAATGCTCCCCGATCAGGTTCACATCAGGAAGGGTAAAATCATTAATCTGCTGTCCTAGAATCTGAATGGAGACAAAGATATTATAATCGCATTCACACTCATAGAGACAAATAAAATACTCAATAGAGGTCAATTTGCTCTCACTGTCAAGGTGAGAGCTTGCTGCCATCCTCGCTCCCAATTTCTACTCTCACACCTAAGTTATACCTATCACATATCATGGCAGCTCAGTCTCCCATCTGGTATGTGGTACGTACAGTGAACAAAAATCCATACACTACTGATCCTTCTGATGTTCTAAGGAAGCTTAGATGTTTCCTCTCTGATGCATTATAACCAGAATGGTCTAAACTAAAGGACATCCAAAGCAGTTGGGATTAAAGAGGAATTCACACTACAAACCTAAGACGCTCCCTTTCTACCTTCACCTTGTCTCTAAAAATGTTGGTAGTAAGATATTCTTAACAGGAAAGTGAGTGGGAAATCCTTTCAATGGAGATTTTTGGTTTCAAATGAAATCGCAAACAAGTGGAATCTCTGTTGGATAACCTGCCAGTGAAAGCAAAGGCCTTTAGAGGCTAGGGACGCAGACCAGCCGGTGGAGCACCTACCTACCTCCGTCCTCAGCATCACAGCAAATTATGTGTGCTGCTGCATGCATATAATTCAGCACTTAAGAAGAGGCGCGGGATCAGAAAGTCAGGGTTACTCACGGCTAAACACAAATATACCATCAACGCAAATGAAATTTAATTCTTCCCTTGTATAGGTAAATCAATATCCATAAGTAATTAAAAGCAGGGGGAGGCGGTTCCACAGTTCATGATGGAGACCTCAAAAACCTGCAGTTCTGTTTTTCTGTCCTTGAGTGTCAGGTATGTACTTGGTTCCATCAGAGTTCTGTACTGACCAGAGGCCAGAAACACTAAGAAAATGTTCAGGGGCCCTGGTTTGTGTTGTGTTTTTTTGTTATCATTCTTCCAGGTTTGCATAGAAACCTAATGAGTACAGCTGCCTGGAAACTATGTGTGATCAGGTGCTTCACTGATGCTTGAGGATGTGCCAAAATTCCAGTCTAGCCATCAGGATGGGAAGGTGTTAATGAATACCTAGTGGGTGGGACGGCTGGACTGACAAGCTCACCTCCCATGCCTCAGTCCAGTAAAACCTTCCTAACTTCCACACAGGGACATCAGTGGCAGCCCTTTCTTGCTTCCTTTCTTTTAAGCCATCTTCTATCACAAAACTCCTCTCTAAAACTTAACCTTCTGTTGTTTCTGAAATTCACCTTGGAGGTTATAACACAAAAGACATAAAAGCCACTAACCTGGAGTAGCTTTGGTGCCAGGAACCCTAGTCCCCTATGAAATGTCAGATGAGTCAGAAAGGACTCTGCCATATTTAAAAACTTCCCCTCCCCTGCTTTTCACCATTTCAAAAGGATGTATGTACGTATTTATGTATGTATTTAAAAATTTTAAGATATCTCTACTGGGAGGAAACTGAACACAGGGGTTGGAAAATGAATAAAGATGAGCTCATGGGAATAAAAAATATAATAGGAATGAAAGTTTCAATGGGCAAGAAAGGTGTGTAGTTATCTCAGGAAATAGAACAAAAACATGAACTATGAAAAGAAAATTTGATTAAATAATGAAATCTGAGTAATTAAAGGATCAATCCAATAGGCTTAAACGCTTAGTGGAAGTTCTACAGAATATACAGAAAAAAATTAAGAAGAAAAAATTTCCTGAAAGTAAAACTAGTAGGTATTCAGTTTTTAAGTCTGCTATGTACCAAACATAATAAAACAGAATCCAAGCTCAAAATATACCTTGCATCAAAGCACAATATCATGACTCTTCAGAGATAAATAAAAACAAATAAACCCTAGATAAAGAGGTTGCCAAAAGGGAATGAGAATCCCCGTAAGAGACTGCAACAGCATATCTAGAGGAAGTTGGTGAGAACTGCTGCAGCGCTTCCAGACACAGCTTTAACCGCCACCCAATTCTCAAGGAAGAAACCAACACCACAGTCTACACTTTAGCATGCATTTCTCTGAAGACAGCACTGTTAAAATGTGCTCAGCAATATGAAGGTAATTCAGAAGCTAGGCATGGTGGGAATGCACTCAGGAGGCAGAGGCAGATGGATCTCATGAGTCTGAGGCTAGCCTGGTCTACATAGTGCATGAGACCTTGTTTAAAAATCAAAGTAGAGACAGGCAAAGTGGCACATGCCTGTGATCTCAGCACTCAGGGTGGTAGAGGCAGGAGGATCTCTGTGAGTTCGAGGCCAAAGGAAGTCTGGGACAGCAAAGGCTACACAGAGAAACCCTGTCTCGAAAAGCAAGTCTGGGACAGCCAAGGTTACACAGAGAAACCCTGTCTCAAAAAGCAAAAACAAAACAAACCAACAAAAAACTGCTTTGATAACCTGCTGGGTAGAGTCTTTCAGAGGCCCTCTATGGAAGGCTCCTGTCCTGTTCGCTGTCTTGGCCTACTTCCGATTTCTATCCTGTTTGCTCTTCTGAGTGAGGAGTAAGATTCCCTATTAAGGGGTGCAGGGGCAGTCACTGGCATGAACTCGGTTGCCTGCTCTTTGATCAACTCCCCCTGGTGAGGCGAACTTACTAGGCCACAGAGAAAGAGGATCCAGACAGTCCTGATGACATCTGACAGGCTAGGGTCAGGTGGTAGGGAAGAAGGACCTCCCCTATCAGTGCACTAGGGTAGGGACATAGTGGGGGAATAACAAGGGAGGATGGGACCAGGAGGAGATGAGGGAGGGGGCCACAGCCAGGCTACAAAGTGACTAAAGGGAATATGACAGAACAGATAGAGGAATTCTCAGAATGAGTGAGGTAATGACACAACATAAGCTTATTTACTGTTTTTGTTGATTATAGTTAAGAATGAAAACCCTTCTGCTTTGTTGCAGGAAACTTCCTACAATAGGTACTAACCTAAACTCTCTGGATTCACAAAATATACGATATAGATATGATGGTACTTTTTTAGAGTCTGGAAAAAACTCTGAATTTCAAAATGGACTAATCTAAGGGTGTGAGTGAGACTTTGGACCCTCATAAATGCTTCTGTAGGTACATTTATACAGATGTCTACAAAAGTGTCACCATATTGCATACACGGTCTTACTACTGACTATAAAGTTACTATGCCAGGGTTAGATTGGGCTCAGCCTCAGAAGGCAGAGTCAGGATGGGAAACTAAATGTCACCCCTAGCTGTATGCAGAGTACAGGCCAGTCTGTCTGCATGAGAACGTATCTTTAAAAAAAATTGTGTCAAAAGATAGATACTTTACAAAGCTTTTAACAAATATTCTACCTTTGTGAAGTATATGGAGCAAGTAAAGACATATAAAATAAATAAAGTAACTTCAGGAAAAAGATACACCATCACAAACTACAGCCAGTGATAAAAAAGGAAAAGAACATTGGATGATGAGGTTAAAAGGGGAGCCTAGCAGTGAATCATCTAGCAGGGGACTCACTGTGTGTAGTTGCAAAACAAATACCAAAGCTGAACACTTCAGCTCTTCTCATAAGGACATGATCTATAACTAGGCTTTTAAAAGCACATACAGAGAAATTCCAAAGATGCTAGTCATCTGCAGAGACAAGATTTATCTCCTCTCTAAGGAAGATAAGCATAGTTGGGTCATGCTGACGAGGGCACAGAATGCTGCTGCATCACCAAGGAAGGTCTTGTGGAGTATGATGGGGCAAGAGGATGAGAAAAACAAAAAGATAACAGAGAAAGAGAAAAGAAGTATGGAGAGAGAGGAATTTGAGCCTGGGAGACTCAGTAGCACTCCATTTGGTCTGAGTAGAGCGCCAAACTTACAGTGTAAGTAATTCCTAAAATATCACCATGATCTTTTCTGACACAAATTTTCTATTTCCTTTCCACCGTTATACTTTACTGAAAAATTATAATTCTTAATTTACAAAGTAAGTGACTATGATGCTCAGGACAAAATGGTTAGATCTCATAATCCTAAAAGATCTAGTAAATATTGCTTCTGAGGTACCCTTATAAGTAACTTCTAGCCAAAAAACAAACAAAAGAAAGCCACCTCAATAGTTATAGTTTTTTGCACATTTGCTCAAGAGGTTTAATACTACTCCAAGTGTTCTTTTACACATTTTAAATTACACAATTTTCTTGAAATCTAGTACTTATTTTTAAGTTATGTGAAATGATTACAAAATTAAGTACCTATGACAACACAGTACTGCTGGTGTCCAGGACTGAACAATGACTATGTCAGGTCTGGCTCCAACCTCATTTCATGACTAATAAGATAAGGAACAAGACAACCAAATAAATCTGCATAAGACAAGAACGTAGATTTGTCCTCAATGTATGAGAAACCCATGCAAGCTGGACTGGTAGCAAAGGTCTGTAATCCCAGCTGTTTGAGAGACTGATGCACAAGTGTATCAAGTTCAAAGCCTGTCTGGGCTAAAGTTCAAGGCAGCCTGGTGCCAATTAATGAAACACTTCTCCTCTAAGAATAAACAGACGGCTAGAGGTGTAGCTCAGTGTGAGAACATTGGCTTAACAGGACTGCACCAACAACCTAAAGAAACATGCAAGACCTAAAACGGAAAGCAATGTAATCTCTGTTTTACTTCTTCACAATCGCCCCGGCCGACAGAACTACAGAATGGTGAAGGTAAAACTGCTCACCAGTTACTACTTTAGCAGTCTGAGCACAAACGTATGGCAGCTTGGTTATGGGTGGTTGCTAGCACCCATAGCTGGAGAAGGCTCTATTTTTACAGTCTGAGAGATACTTTTTTGATATTTTAGATATTTTTTTGCTGATGATATTAAAATAAAGACACCCAGCTCTCAGGAGGTAGAAGCAGGAAAATTAGAAGTTCCAGGTCTCACCCTCTGCTACATATTGAGTTTGAGGATAGCATGGGCTATATAAAACTCTCTTTAAAATACATAAATAAATAGGAACACAAACAAACAAACTCTCAAATCACTGGACAGGACACGGTAGCTTAAGCACAGAATACTGGCACAAAAGAAGTGGAGGCAGGAGTCCATGAATTGGAGGCCAGGCTGGGTGCAGTGAGTGATTGTCCTCTGTGCCAAGAACAGCCATCTGGAGCATGAGGCTGTGCCCTTGCAAACGATCACCCAGCTGAACTTACTGATGATTTATACCCCTGAATAGAGGGGTGAGAGGACACAAGATTCTCATCCAGCTGCTCCCTACCACCTATAGTATGTAACTGCCTTAACTGCACATAAGCTGGGGGTGACGCAGTATATAAAATCCAGGGAAAACTACATCTGTTTAGCTCTAGGGAAGCCCTCATCCCTGCTTGGTAAAGACCTTTTCTAGCAGTGGGGAGAGAAGCACACACATCCCTTTAGTAATCCCTTACCTATGCCCTGTAAGAAAACCCAATAAACTCACTGTTTCCTAAAGAGTAAACTTTGATGGAACTGTGCCTGTGTTTGTCATTGGGACTTTAAGAGAAGAGGAAGGTATTTTAGTAACACTGGGCTGCAAAGTGAGTTTCTGGCCAGCCTGCACTACAGAGGAAGTCCCTGACTGAAAACTCATCCGAAGGACTATAGAATGACACCAAGGGTTGATACCTTGTCTAGGTTGGATGTGATACAGCAGTGCTTCTCAACCTTCCTAATGCTGTGACCCTTTAAGATGGTTGTGGTGACACCAACCATAAAATTATTTCATTGCTACTTCATAATTGTAATTTTGCTAGTTATAAACCATAATGTAAGTATCTGATATGAAGGATACTTGATATTTGACCCCCAAAGGAGACATGACTCACAGGTTGAGAACCACTGCAATAGAGTCACTTACTAAGAGGGAGAAGATAGGTGCTACAGATATAAATGTGAGTCTAAATGTAAGCAAGCTTGCAGGAAAAAAATGCCAAGAAAATAATACATGTTTCGAGGCAAAGTTATCCTACTGGCATCTCTGATTATGAAATTAATAGTTCTGCTGTGTGCTGGACAGCAATGCTTGTGTTCTCATATGGAATCAGAAGAGGAGGTGAGTTCACCCAGGGCCCAGGCCCTTGCAGATAAATAAAACACAAGCAGTAGGGAAAATCACAATAGTCCATCAGCTCTAAACCACCTTTACAAGTACAGGGAGAAAGAAGAGACTATAATACAACCAAATTTAACACATCTTAATAATTATACACAAATTACTCATAACATGACAGTTACTGGTCTGTTCAGCACATAAATGACTGGTTATTTGAACCAATACCTACAAACCTACATAAGGGAAGATAGACTATTAATTTTGAAATATTTTTTTCTTAAGCTTGGAACTATAAAAAATTCCATATTTCCAAGATGAGAAAAAAAATCTTACCTCATGATTGTAATCCAAGATGCCTTTTAAAATTTTCTTTAAATTGCTAATCTGTTTAGAGAGAGAAAAAAGTGGGTGAAAGGCAAACACAGATCTATGTACAGATTAACACTAAAAACTCAAGTGAATCATAGAGCAAGTACAAGCTGAGCATTCTCAGACCACAACTCTGAAGTCTCAAGTGAGCTGAACTCCAAAGCCTTTTGAACAGTATGCTGGTGTGAGAAAACATTTAGACTTTGGAGGTTCTCAGACTTAAGATCTTGGGACGTTCAACTGGTCAAGTTTATGCAAACCATCTAAATAAACAAACAAGCAAATGAATAAACAAATAAATCCTAAACCCCCCTCCCCCCAAAAAAAACCTTCTCTAAAATCTGAAGCACTTCTGGCCCAATTCACATAATGGCTATTTAAACTATATTAAAAAAACGCAATAGGATATTTGAAGTTTGAAGAAACAACATTAGAAGTAACAACTACTGCTTAGTGACAACACTATGGGGAAGTGGAAAACAGCTAACAGATTATTCAGACTTTTCAGAAGTAAAGCAAATAAAATGCATTAATCTTAAAGACGAACTTAAATTTGTTCTATTTTCTATAACTTTACAGTGTTAAACAGAAACTACTGCCAAAATTATCCTTGGAAATCTTTTTTAAAAAATTAAAAATTAGTTTATATGTATGGGTGTTTTGCTTGCATGTATGTTGGCGACCCTGGAATTGGGATTAGAGAGGGTTGTAATCTGTCATGGAGGTGCAGGGAGTTGAATCTAGGTCCCCTGGAAGAGCAGCCAGTGCTCTAAACTGATGAGCTATCTCTCCCGCCCCTTGTATCTTGATCCAGGAAATACAGATTCAAATTCCTCCACTGTCAAGAAAAGGCTGCTTTTTAGCTGAATATCAAACAAAGTAAATAACTATGACCAGAGGTTAAAAATTACTATTGTATTCTGAAATACTAAAACAGACTAACATTAAGCATTGCAAAAATGTTTGTGCTTTAAGGAGGGCCATAGGTGAGGTAAGAGGAGGAAGCAACGCATGATGTCTCAGGGTATTAACTCATGTCAGAACTTAAGTTCACTGGCCATTATATCTAGGTGAAATGACTGGCAGATTCACTACATTATTTGATAAAAACTCTTTGAGTTCTCTTCTGCTTTTGACTAAATTTTCATTGAATAAGTGTGCTATATTCTTCTGATCACCCTTAAGATCTGGCTGAATTTGTTCAATGTTTAGTTCAGATAGACTCTTTCTTATTTGAAATGCTTCTTATCACATGTATTTTGGATTTAGGATTGATAATGCTCAAGCTGTAGCTGATGTCTTAGAACAAAAGATAACACAGCCTGAGGTCATCAAATGATAGGAGCTGAATTATTTAGTTGCAACCATCTGCCTTAAAACATTTTTAACCCATGGCAGCTCAGTCTCTAAGTAGGTTACCTTGTAATGGGAACAGGAACTGTCTCTGACATGAACTCAGTGGCCTGCTCTTTCATCACCTCCCCCTGAGGGGGGTGCAGCCTTACCAGGCCACAGAAGAAGACAATGCAGCCACTCCTGGTGAGACCTGATAGGCTAGGCTCAGAGGGAAGGAGAGGAGGACCTCCCCTATCAGTGGACTTGGGGAGGGGCATGGGAGGAGATGAGGGAAGGAGGGTGGGTTTAGGAGGGGACTAAGGAGGGGGCTACAGCTCAGATACAAAATGAATAAATTGTAATTAATAAAACAATAAATAAATTTAAAAATGTATGGGTATAAGTGTTTTGCCTGCATATAGGTGTATGTACCACATGCATGCCTGGTGTTCACCAAAGTAAGAAGAGGATGTTAGATCCTCGGAAGTGGAGTTACACATGGTTCTGAGCCACCATGTAGATTTCTGGGTAACTAACCTTAGGACCTTGCAAGAGGAACAAGTGCTCTAACTGCTGAGCAATCTCTCTAGACATTGAAAACATTTATTTCTAAGAGGAAAGTAAACCAAAAAGATTCTTATTTATTAAAAACAATAAAACAAGCATGGTGTGCTTGCTTATGCCTATTAATTCAAGTACTAAGAAATAAGGGCAGAAGGCAGGTTTAGGCTATACAGAAAAAAACAGTATAATAAAAAATTAATTTTGTATTCCTGGAAAAATCTGGATTTGAAAAATACATTATTTCTTTTATTGTTCTTCTAATCTGTTTATTTTTCATACTTGCAAAATCTGAATGTGTACCATCTTAACACTGATAGGTTCACCTAAAATAGTGGTTTTCCCTACTGGAAAATGCTACGTTATCTTATTTTAACCAATGGCATCATAAAATTGAAGACGCAATCCCTAGAACGGCTATAGTACTTGCCTATAGAAAGTAAACGGTAGAGCTTAGTGTGGACAGAAGCTCCATGATTCCACAATTCGTAGCTTTGCTAGGCTTTAATGACTTCTAGGATGGCACATCCTGGCAGGAATTGTCAAGTTGCTACTAATCTTCAATTCCAGATTGTTTTATTAGAGGCTACCTAAATAAACTTCTAATCTCACTGGAAATAGCAGATAAAAATGTATTACATACGACATAAATATTTGAAGATTTGACAGGTGTAAACACAAAAAGAAATACCTTTAACCTCCAATTGTCTCCCACTTCAGTTTTGATTCTGTTTAGCCAATTATCATCGAAATACACAGGATCTCTGTAAATAAAGAAAGGCTGGATTAAAATCATGTAGCTGGCATGCTTAAAATGCCCAATTCCATCCCATGTCATCATTTAAATGAACCATAAAAATATGTGTACCACATACCAGCCATTAAATAACCCATGAGACCAGATGTAACAGCACATTTTCTAAAACCAGTTTGATTATACTACTGTTATATAAGATGTACGACAAAATGGTACTTTAAAAAACTAAAAGGTGAAATGGTTATAGTTAACATATTCTAATGGTGATTTATAGTTGAATATTCAAAACTAGAATTAATAGAATCAAATTATCCCAAACCAGTCAAAACCAATAGCACACTTTTTAAAAAGACTCAAAAAGACAAAATGAGTTTATATAAACAAATACAGCCAAACAAGGTTAGACCCTAAATATATACAGCTTCATTTTTTTCCTAGGAAATTCTCCTACACTTACAAAGAAAAACCAACCAACTAACAAAACAAAACAACAAACCTACCCAAACTTCTCAAACTCAGCACGAGTATCACTTTAAGTTTTTCAAATTGAAGCTCTAAGAAATTATTGTCCAAGACCACAATGAAACATCTATTTGTCCTAGTCTAGGAAGAGTTAAATCTAAGATCCTTCCATAACACAACTGTATCTATTCAACCAAAATACAGAAGAGCACTGGGACAGAAATGTTAATGGAAGAGAGGGAAATCTACACTTCAACTCTTACATAATTGAAACTCAATCAGTAATAAATTTTATTCTACTTAATTTTAAAACAAGCAACAGGTTACCCAGGATTAAAATTTTTTGTTACAGGACTGGAGAGATTATTCAGTGGTTAAAAACACTGGCTGCTCTCCCAAAGGACCTAGGTTCATATCTCAGCACCCACATGTCAGTTCACAACTGTCTGTAATTCCAGTTCCAGGGATTTGACACCCTCACACAGACATACATGGAGGCAGAACAGCAATGCAAATAAAAATTTAAAAATTAAGATAAATTTGTTACAAAAATAATGCACTTATTTAGGTAATAAGTATACTTAAGTTATAAATTTTATCTATTGAAATCTATATGTAATCATTATGTAACATAATAACTTGTCTATTCAATTTTTTAAAAATTCATTGTTATTTTTTGGATAATGGGTATATGTATGTAAATGAACGTGTACAAAAAGGTCAAAAGAGGGCAGTAGATAACCTGGAGCTAGAGTTATAGGCAATTGTGAACCATCTGAGGTGGTGCTGGGAACTATACTTGGTCCTCTGGAAGGCAGGAAGCACACTTAGCTGCTCAGCCATTTCTCCAGCCTCTTATTCATCTACTTTTGTTTGTTTTTTTGAAAACAGGGTCTCATGTGTAGTCTTGGCTGGCCTGAAACTCACTATGTAGACCAGGCTGGCCTCTCTAAGTCAGATCTGTAATGCCAGGATCACGGGGCCCTCAGAGATCACCGGGAGACGACTCGATGCAATAGCAAGAGAGCTTTATTACAAAAGCGACTGAAATCAGGACCCAAGTCTCACTGATGTAGCAGTAGAGAAGTGGGGCCCTGAGCCCTGAGTGAGCAGGTTTTAAAAGGGAAAGTCTGTGATCAGGGGATTTCCATGACAGCAAGCGGGGGGGGGGGGGTCACATGCCTTGACATTACAGGATTAGGTCAAGTTTAGAGGGGTGAGATGACCTTTTCTGAGGCACTTAATCACAATTGCTAAGACATATAATCACAATGGCTATTTTTCTAAACTATATCTGAAACATTGGGGAGAATTTTCTCAACCGATTCCCATTGATTATTGCCAGGGAGATTGTCTCTATTTTCTATGAAGCATTTATTCTGTATTATTTCCTGGAGGCTGTTGATAGGAGAGTTAACTTTGTTTTCTGCCAAGTGTATATTCTGTGATATTTTCTGGTACCTGAATTCAGCTCCAGTCAAGATGGCTCTTTATTTCAAAATGGAGTTATACCCAGGCTAACTTAAACTCTTCAGATCCAACTGCCTCTGCCTCCTGAGTACCGGGAATAAAGGAGTTCGCCAATCCACCCAGCCATTTATCTACTTTAAAAAATGGTTGAGATATAGTACACAGCCAGGCATGGTAGTGCACACCTTTAATCCCAGCATTCTGGAGGCAAAGACAGGCTGACTGATCTCTGTGAGTTCAAGGCCAGCTTGGTCTACAAGAGTCCAGGATATCCCAGGGCTTTTTACACAGAGAAACCCTGTCTCAAAAAAACAACAAAACGAAAACAAACAAAAAGATATAGCACACATATATCATTTAATTATTCTTTTAGAATATACAAATCACCTCAGGATGTAATACTGACAGAGCGTCACAACCATCACCATCATGTTAAGTCATCTGTATCTTCATAGAAAAGGAACCACAGGTGATAGAGATGGCTTTGTGGGGAAAAGTGAGTGTTGTACAGCAATGATGGCCTGAATTTGGATCCCCAGTGCCCAAATAAGGACCAGGAATGTGTTTAACCCCAGCATTGAGGGAACAGAGTACATAGGGGAAGGGTTAGCAGGGTAGAGACAGGTAGATCCCTCGATTGAAATGATAAGCTTCAGATTAAAAAATTGAGTCTCTGTCTCAAAAAAACACAAGTTTTGAAAGCCATTGAGGTCAGATGTCCAATGTCAACTTCATGCATCGGGCAAGAGCACCCATGTTGTAGACAAGAGAAAGAAGAAAAAGAAGATAAACCATGTTTCTATTAGCTGTTTTTTAAATTTATTTTCCCACCCCTGGAAATTACTAAAGCACCATTGTCAAGAACAGACAATAGTTGCATCCTGACATTTAGCCATTGCCTATAACAGGCCGGTGCACACAAACCGAAACACAGGTGAGTCTTCTTGTTTCTGGGACAGACACATATGCCCATATTCATATGCCCAGTTATATAAATCTAATATAAAACCATCTAATAGGTTTGAGGTAAAAACCCAATCTTTGTGGACAGTAGAAGATCACTAATCAAGTCCAGTCTTATCTTGAGAAAGGGAGAGCAGTGATAGTATGTATGCAACTGGGTTGTTATTTTTAAAAAAAGATTATATCCACTTCAAATCACTTTCACTTAAATCAGGACTGTCTAACAAAAACATTTTTAGCCATTGATGATCTGAATTTTGGTGTATGAATTAAATTATGGTTACACATTAAATGCCGTGAGACATTTGTTTTGTAAAAAATAAGGCAGTAGAATTACTTATTAGTAGTCTTTTTCAGATATACTATTAGGTCTGCCCTTTCTTCCTTCTTTTTTTTGAATTAATTTATTTTTTTATTAATTACAATTTATTCATTTTGTATCCTAGCTGTAGCCCATGCCTCATCCCTTCTTAACCCCACCCTTCCTCCCTCTTCTCCTCTCATATCCCTTCCCTAGTCCACTGATGGGGGAGGTCCTTCTCCTCTTCCATCTGACCCTAGCTTCTCAGTTTCTCATCAGGACTGGCTGCACTGTCCTCCTCTGTGGCCTGGCAAGGCTGTTCTCCCTCAGGGGGAGGTGATCAAAGAGCCAGCCACTGAGTTCATGTCAGAGACAGTCTCTGTTCCCCTTACTAGGTAACCCACTTGGAGACTAAGCTGCCATGCTACCTCTGTGCAGGGGTTCTAGGTTATTTCCATGCATAGTCCTTGGTTGGAGTATCAGTCTCAGAAAAGACCCCTGTGCCCAGATTTTTTTTATTTTGTTGTTCTGAAATCCAGTGTAGATCATTTTTGTTCTAGGGATATAGTTTTTGGGATTCTCCAAATAGTCTATCCGGTATCCTGTTTGCATGTGATACCTCTGCTCTTGTTGGCATCTGTGGAAGAGAATCCAGTGGCCTGACCTATCTTCCGCCCAAATCTGGACCATGAAGATTTGATCCAGTCTTATGTTTGCCTTCCTTCTCCCTTTTCTTGACTTTCTCAACATTACCTATTTTTAATTCACTCCTGGCTAGTCAATACCACAAAAGTTTTGACCCAAAGATGGACATACTGCTTCTGAACATTTTAATGAAATAAATAGTAAACCATACGACCATTTATGCCTGATTTCTCTCTCAATTAGTATGATTTTAAGGTTTTCCTGTAATGTAGTATGTATCAGGACTTGACTTTTTTATGGATATAGTCAACCACCACATAACATCCCAGGCCATAATCAACTACAAGTGAACCTACAACACTGTATGGCTTACTTTTGTTTACACAAGATGCATTTCTTACAAACTATCTCATGATAAGTGACTACTATATTATGTTTATCCATTCATTAGCTGATGAATATTTGGATTGTTTTTATTTTTGAGCTATTATAAATAATAGCTTAACAGTCATGCAACAGTTTTTGTATGGGCAGGTTCATCTGGGATGAAATTGCTGGGTCACATAATTCTGTTTAACATAAAACTTGCCTGTGGTAGTTCATGCCTGTGATCTCAGCCTTCTTTTCTTTTTAAAAACTTGTTATTTGTGTGTGTGTGTGTGTGTGTGTGTGTGCGTGTGTGTGCACATATTTGCACAGGTGCCCATGGAAGCCAGAAGAGGGACTCGGATCCTCAAAACTACCTGGATAGTTTTGCACCGCCGAATGTGGGCTTTAGGAACTGAACCCTGGTCCTCCACAAGAGCAGCAAGTGCTGTTAACCAATGAGTCATCCCACTAGCTCCTCTTTCACTTTTTAATTATTTTGAATGTTTATTTTTATTTTGTGTGTATGGATGTGCCTCAATGTATGTAAGTGCACCATGTAGACACCTGGTGCCGGAGAAGCCAAGAAATTAAAAATTTAGTGTTTCTAGGCAAGGTTCTCTGTATCAAGATAAACCAATTTAGGTAATCTGATGCAAAAAAGAAGAGGTGTGCACGTACTCAAAAGATGGCTGGGCCTCACAAATACTGGAATAAGAATCTGAACTAATTTTTTCTACATTTTTTTTTCCCATTGAAACATTTATCTCTGTGGTTCAACTTCTTCCTGTTTCTCCCAA